GAGTCTCCTGCCTCAGCCTCCCAAGTAGCTGGGACCACAGGCGCCCGCCACAACGCCTGGCTATTTTTTGGTTGCTGCCGTCATTGTTGTTTGGCAGGCCCGGGCTGGATTTGAACCTGCCACCTTGAGTGTACGTGGCTGGCACCTTAGCACTTAAGCCACAGGCACTGAGCCGTAAATTTATTATTAAAAGACTTTCAAAGTAACCAGACTATTGAATTTAGTTCAATAGGTGATCTTTAAAAACTTCCTTGCATTTTGCTATGTATAAAGCATATATTTTTTGCCCAAATGTTTGAGGGAACAATAAAGATGCACATTATATGTGAACAGTAGAGCTTGGGAATTGGGGGAATCTAGCAGGCCTCCCAGGGGCACTGCATCCTCCTGCCTTGACCTCTGGGTGCATGAGGTTATAGTCTGGGAAGATCTGGGATCTGGTGAGAGTGGCCTCTGCTGAGTGCTGCCATCTAGGGAGGGGGCAGTGGTAGGGCTGGAGAAGTGAACTGTGGCCGTGGGGAGTGAAGGCAGATGCCCAAAACCTGGCTGCATGGAAGGGACTGGGATCCCTGTGTAGGCACCAGAGATCTATTGGGCTGCCCATGGGCCAAATGGCTTCAGAAGCTTCAGCTCCACCAGCCATGCATGTGGCCATCTTGGCCACAGACCTCAGTGTGACGAAGAGGGAAAAGCTCCCAGGAGACAGAGGAAGGGCATCCTTTATAGAGCAGATGACTGCAGGAGGATGGTGCAATCTGAACATTTATGGGGGGAGTGTTAGCTCTCCCCAGATGTGTCTCTCCCAGATGAGAACTGGCCACTATTTCAAAGAGTCATTTCCTGAAAGTTTAGGCCAAAAATTTGGGTGCACATTATACATGGGAGCACAGAACACAATAAAATATGCTAGCTTTTTAAATTAGATTCCTGACTTCAGGGTGGAGCCCTTTAATGAATAGGGCGAAAAAAACCAATGTTTTTTTCTTCAATTGATTTTATTGCAGCCCAAACAGTGGAATTAACTATACATAATAAACAATTATATAAACACACACATATTAAGTTTCAGGGAATACAATTTATTTTCATAGGTTGTGTTAAGCAAAATTACATTTGCATACAGAAGTAACATAACTCAAAACTCTTAATTTGGAATGAATGTGACACATTTTCTTGCTTTCTGTGTTCAGCTCAATCACCATACCTAAACTACTTCATAAAACTGATATGCAGAAATTTACCATTACTATTTTGCTTACATTCTGATTACAAACAAAATTTTTCATAAGCTTCTCCTATCTCTGTGTCCATGTCATCATCAGTATCACACAAGTATGGATCTCTAGCAACTGGAAAAATCTGTTCTATTTTCTTCATAATCTGAAAAGAGGTTCTCTTTCTCAATTAACTATTATTTATTTACTACATTTGGATTTTTAAATTTCAGTTTAGTATAAGGATGCATACAATTAAGTAATAGAGTTTGCATTTGTAAGGTTAAAGTCTGAGTTGTAGCCATGTGCTTCACCCAGATATGCCATATACCTGGGCATTGTACCCAATGGGGGATGCCCACCAAACCTGTTCCCCTGTTCCCCTCTGCTTGAATCCAGCTGAGTTTTTCTCTCTATTGCTTTTCTCTCTGATCTGGTAGCTCTTAACCTACTAGTTTTAATTTAGTACTGAACACATGTAATGGTTGTCTTTCTTTCCTGTGATACTTTGCGTAGGAGGATATTCTCTAAGTCCTCTCTCAAGTAACTCTTGGTGTTTCTCTTGGTGATCTGAAGTGGCTGCAGGGAAAGGAGCAACATCAGATGTATCAAATGTTGGTTTATTCATAAAATAGGTTAGGATCATTTTCAGGTGTTGTTTCTCTGCATGTTGGAGGTACACGAGCTCCAGCAGCATCCGTTTTACATCTAGGACAACCTTTTCAATTCTCTGAATAATTGCTTCTATATCAGTCTTTCCTTTTTCCTTCTAGGCATCTTCCAAAACTGATCCTGTCCACGTCAGTAACTTTGCTGCACAAATTAAGTTGTTATCCACAGGAACAGAAAAGCAGGTATTCAGCAACTCTAGAAGACTAACCTGAAAAATATCTGCTTTTGTAACCTGTCCATTTAGTCCCCCAATCTCTAGATTAAGATAAAGGTCTCCTAGAAAAGCACAAAAATAAAAAAACAAAGCAAAAAACTCCCAAAACATTTTCTATGCCTACTTGATCTGAAAGCCTAGCTTTTATAAATCTATTGCCTTCAGGTTTGGATAATAACTAATTTAAAAGGTTGACAGATTTAAGTTTCTTATCAATGAGTCACTTAAACTTTTTATTTGGTGTTTTGTAAAGATTTTTTTTAAATAGGCAATAAAATTAAAAATAATCTTTTTAGAAGATTCTGCATATCAGTAGACATTCCTAGTTGGGCTTAAGTAGAGAGTCCTATACTTCAGCTGCTTCACAATCTGGAGCCACTCCCTAAAATACCCCCCAAAGAGACTTAGATATCACTTTCAGAGCTGGCAGTAGTTCATATAGATGCAAATGGGTATAACCCACATTTCTATCTAAACATAGTCTTGGGGACCCCAATTTTTATCAGGCAACTTTATATTCAGTCCTCAAAACCCACATACCCCCATTGGTTGGAAAGTCAGGCCTAGTTCTTCAGTACAAAAAAACAGGAGAAAAACAGGTACGAAATAGCTATTCATGGGAAGGAAAGGTTGAAAGTTATAGAGTAATGTTCTTTATCTGGATAATTCTGCATTATCTTTAGTAAGATTTTGCCACTATTGTAAACATTAGCTTCTAGAGCCATAATTCTTACACATAAATAGGGGAGGTGTAAAAAGAAGGCAGAGTACTATAATCTTTAGAAATTAGGATCTCATTTTTTTGTTGGAT